TAAAGACAATGACTTCTCCTTCCTTTGGATGAGGTTTCTCTTCTGACGGCTTAGGGGGGCGGTAAGACATGACAAACTTCTTCGGCAAGTATCCGGTTTTCACAAAGTCTTCAAGCGTGTTTTCTGTGACGATGGAAGGAACCTTGTTGCATGAAGTGGTCGTCTTGGGTGCCATTGTGGAAGTGGTCTCTTTGGGCGCCATTATTGAAAAGGGAGCCTAAAAGGAAAAAAGAACAAATTTGTCAGTTCAAGCTAAGCCGGACGGAAAATATTACAGTACGTATGCAAAATGGTGGCTTAAAGAAGGGGCCTAATGGTATATGACTAATTAAAGCGGGTTATGTAAGCCACCATGAGCAGTTTGATATCTATCAAAGGAGAAATCTGTGGAGCATCGAAGTTAACTACAGCCGGTGGTATGAGCCACCATGGCTAGGTGGATCTATCAAGATGCAGTTTTTGACTAAGTACCGTACAAATAGGTTTCGCAGATTGCAAACTATTATTTTGGATCAGAGGCAGTTCAGAGAAAGAAAAATAATCAAGACCTAATACCAGTGCAAAGGAGTTCATAAGTTCTAATGAGATGTATTTTCAATGGAAAAGGGGTCCGCTGGTATTGAGGATAAATGCAAACTTATTGCCGTACAAGTTCTATGCCGTTTTCAGATCAAAAGGAGTTACGATGGAGGAATTAAGAAGAAACTACGAAGAACACGAGGAACAGCCGAAACCCTAATGTGATCTGACACATTGGAGGAGAAGCACTTATAGGTGCAGATCCAACTGCGGTGGAGCGCCGGAGTACTCTGATCCGACATAGGTTGATGCAGCGGCCAAAGTCGAGGAGGACGAAGTGCTTCGCGACGGCGGTGGAGCTCGAGCGGTAGAGGGTCGCGCGAGGAAGAAGACGATGGAAAGGGGGAGAATAAGAAGAGACCGGTCGACCCTATTTATAAGGAAGGCTAATAAGTGGGCGCGAAAAATGAGGAGGCCAGAACGTGGTTATCCAGCTGCTCGGCCCCCTCGATTCTCGGGGCAGTTATTAAAACAAAGATCTGTTGAGATATGTCGAATATTGTGCAAATTTATGATAGGTGACGTCATGGCGGGTTATGGCAATCTCAGGAGGTGACGTCATGGCGGGTTATAAGTTCTCGCACAAGAAGAGAAGGGAAGATTCTTTAAGTGTTGAAGATTGACATGAGAAGTTCAAATCAACCTGGGCCTAATGTTGGGATATAACTATTGGTATGACCCGCCCAGGAGGGGCCGGGTTATACCTATGGCGATCTTAATATGAAGCCCATGGAGACATTAAAGATAGCGGTTAACAGCCAAGGGCCCAAGGCCCAAGGGCGACTTAGGGCCCGTAGGTATAAACTGCCATATATGTAAGACTTGTATTGTAAGGCATGTAAATATAGTCACCAAGCCGGACACGTTGTCTATGAGTCGGCCAGGACTCTGTGAGCCATTGGGCGTCGACCTGTGTATATAAAGGGACAACCCGGCGGCGGTTCAGGACAGAAAAATAACAGGTCGAAAGCTAGGTCAAGCGGATTCGCTCCCTGGTAATCGAGACATAAGCAATACCACCCAAAACTGGATCGTAGGCTTTTACCTTCACCGCAAAGGGCCGAATCAGTATAATTCCTGTGTCATTTGTCCCGTTTAACCCCTTTAAGCTAACCTAGAGGCGATGACTCCACGACTAAGTCCTTTCACGAGGACATCTGTCGTGACTATTCCATGCCATAGGGTCCTCTCTGGAATTTGGGCTTAAATATAAAATTACTAAGCCCCAAATATTTGGATCAATTTGATCATTGAATCAAATTTAAATTAAAAAGGATAAAAACAGAAAGAAAAGAAAAGGGGAAACCTAATCAAGTCGAAACCCTGAAAATACGCCATGAGGGGACATGCACGTTAAATTTATAAGGGTGACAATGGAAAAGATAGAACATAATTTGGATTAATGATTTCTCTTGTTTCACTAGAGTTTACTTACCTATGATAATAAATCAAAAGAAAATGTCGACAAAATGCCAGCACCGTCCAATTTAAAGGAAATTGAATGCGCGTCATCGCACCACGTTATCATCGTCAACCTCCGCCTAGAAATATCGCACCCACGATCTCGTGAACTACGTCGCCCACGTCACATGACCCCCACGCCCCAAGTGCACGCCTGAGCTCGCTACCCTGCCCTATAAATAGCCCCTGCCGCCCCCGTCATTTGGCTCCTGCTCATGCTCGTTGTCATAGTCAGGCTGTCACTAATTGAACCCATCGCCACTGCCAGAACCTTCGTCAACGGATTCTGGTGAGCACATACCTCCCTCGCCTAGCCAACAACACCGCCGTTACCACCGAGCTTCAATGCATAACCTGGACATCGTCCACGACCCCTAGAGGGCCCTCAGAGTATAAAAACCCCACGAGACCCTCTTGCGTCCAATAGTGGCGGGATGCGCAAGGTTTTTAAAACACATTAAAAAAAGTTTATGGACATGTTTTTATAAGTTGAACAATTTTCGGAAATTTTTATGAACAGTTGAATTTTTCTAAATACTTAGCACTTTTGGGAAGACTAGAACAATTTTCAAAATTTCTAGACATTTTTCCAAAAACACGATTTAAAAAAAATTGGGAACCTTTTTTTATGCAGCAGACTTTTTTTCAAAATTTTGAACAATATTCAATAATACAAACACTTTTTGAACAATTCCCGTACACATTTTGAAAATGGATTTTTTTGTAACTCCAATAAATATTTGGAAAAAATGAATATTTATGAAGAAAATCTAAAAATATTTTGAATTCATCAATTTTTTGAAAAATATGAACATTTTTTAAAATTTCAGAAAATATTTAAAATCCTGAACATTTTAAAATTTCTGAACTAAAGAAGGCAAAAAGAAGAATATGAAGAAGAAGAAATAAAAAATGAAAGCAAAAAAGATCTTAAAAGACCGGTTCAGGAAGGTTCCCACAACTAGTAAAAACCCAGGCTGGAACCTTCTGAAAAGCGAAACTAGAAGCACTTGCCTGCCGCTAAAATGTGTCGGCACACTTACTCGTTCGTCGATCATGCGTGTGATTCGGCGACTGTTTGCCAGAACGTGCGGCAAATAGGAAAACCGGCGTGTTTGCTCCACAATATGAAGGCTATTGGGCTTGGGCCTATTTGCTTCTTCTCTTCATTGGTACCTGTTTTTTTTCACTTCTCTTTGACTTGTTGACCAGTTCTACTTGCTCAGACTATCTTTGACCGGTCTTGACCGCATTGGAATTTGTTGACTTCTGTTTGACAGTCTAGGACTTGCTGATTGGCTTCGGCTTCTGTTGACGAGCCATATATAAGACTAATGGGACCACTAAGCGGGATTATTTATGGACGCACGGTTGCTGGCCTGATCTGGCTCGTTCCATGGTGGCGCGGTTGCTACGGCTAGGGTGTAATAAAATGCATCCTTTGTCAAAGAAAAAAAGGCATTTGCCGCGCGGTGACGTGCGACCGGCGCCGCCCCCATATCCACGCAGCAATCATACACAGGTGTGTTGAGACCGACGGCGACGGCGACCGGATTTGGACGCCAGCCGTCAGGGTTGAGGCCATGCCGTCGTCCGGCACTAGTGATCAGCGACGACCTGTCAGTTTAGCACTTCGCCTGGCCAAATGCTGACCAAGCTTGCGTCCAAATCATCCATCGTGGTGGCAATCGATCGCCTAATTGCGAGCTTGCTCAACCAAACCAATGATATTAGCTGGAGCAGCCGCAGCCACAACAGATTCGCAGTACGTGGGCGGAAAGCTCTTTCCACCACCCTCACTATTGTACAGCACAAGGGCCAAAATGCACGAGGTGCACACACGCAGCTACGTACGTACATGCGTTGCAGCTAAAGACACCAGTCACACCACCGTCCGGTAATTGGTCCCCTTGTTATTACTTTTTGGCTGAATGGATCAACACTTCCTTCTGGTCTTCTAGATGGTTATGACTGATCACGACGCCGCTGAGGTTGACCGATTAAGACTCCTCCATCCGTGAGTGATTATATCAAGACAAGACACGGCAGGCTCGTTCTTTCATTAAGCAGAGGCAACCGTGAGTGAGAAGATCTTCTTCTGGCGATGAGATGGGTCTTCTCATCAACTTTCAATAGTGGATCGGTCAAATCGAGGTCTGCACACACAATTCACGATTTGTACCGACAAGACCACCTAAGATTCCTTCCTAACCCAACGAACGAGTACTTAGTTTCTTGATTGACAGCGGCGTCTGCGATCAAATTAAGTGCACGATTGGTTTAACTAAATCGATGGGTTCTGATGAAGAAACCATCGGTCTCAACCTTTATCTCATCGTCGAAACGCGAAGTGATCTTTGGCAAAACACGATAATTGGCCGTGCGCTGCGACAGGGCACACACATGTTTTTCTGATCGAATTATCAAAGAAAACATGATTATATTTCCCATGTACTAAAGTTGAGACACTTATTTTGAGACGAGTGGAATATTTGACAAGCCAAAAAGATGGTTCTCGAGGAAAAACGGTGGGAAAAAACCGATAAAATCGAAAACGTAGGTGGCGTGGGTGGAAAAGGAACCACATAACCTTTGCGTATGTTTTCAAATACGAGAGACTTGCAAGTTGCAACTTCACTGTTCCCTTCTATGTCGAGCACCAGACTAACAGCAAATGGCCGGGGATCAACAGAAGAAATTCATTAGCATGGAAGCATGTGCCTAGTGGGCGCATGGACGGATCAAATGGACGATCTATCTTGTATCGGATGAGAAGCCTGCCACCGGCGGGCTCCTACCTGTCACCATTTGTCCCACGTCCAAATTCAATTGGTAGCCTCCGGGTTCCCGCCCTATAAATACCAGGCCAGATCGACGCAGACGCCCGCCGTCCTCAGTGCACTCCAGCGTGCTCTAGCTCGCTCCGACGACCGTCCGATCGTACAGTGCTGGCGCGCGCCATGAAGAGCACAGCGGTGGCGCTCTTGCTGCTGGTGGCGGTGCAATGTCTCGCGCTGGGGTCTCGCACGGCCGCGGCCGCGAAGGTGCGGCGGACAAGGCAGGGCGACTACCTGAACCGGCTGCGCGGGTCGCCGTCCTCCCGCGCGTCCTGGGAGTCGCTGGCGGCCGTGGAGGAGGAGGAGACGACGACGAAAGCGACGGGTAGAACCGCGCCGGCGGCGGCTGCGGCGGAGGCCGGGCGCAAGGAGGCCGACCGCGTGGAGGCGCTGCCCGGGCAGCCGAGCGGCGTGGACTTCGCACAGTACGCCGGGTACGTGACGGTGGACGCGGCGGCCGGGCGCGCGCTGTTCTACTACCTCGCCGAGGCCGTCGGCGGGAACGGCGACGGGTCGTCGTCCAAGGGCAAGCCGCTCCTGCTCTGGCTCAACGGCGGCCCGGGGTGCTCGTCGCTGGGGTACGGCGCCATGGAGGAGCTGGGCCCGTTCCGCGTCATGAGCGACGGCAAGACGCTCTACCGCAACCCCTACTCCTGGAACCACGGTACGCAGTCACCACGCTCTCGAGTTCTCCGGCCTGAAAGCCATTGAGGAACCGACAAGTGATCGACCGGGCAATTAATTAATGGTGCAGCGGCGAACGTGCTGTTCCTGGAGAGCCCGGCGGGGGTGGGGTACTCGTACTCGAACACGACGGCGGACTACGGCCGGAGCGGGGACAACCGGACGGCGGAGGACGCGTACCTGTTCCTGGCTAACTGGATGGAGCGCTTCCCGGAGTACAAGGGCCGCGAGTTCTACATCACCGGCGAGAGCTACGCCGGCCACTACGTGCCGCAGCTGGCCCACGCCATCCTCCGCCACGCCTCCCCGGCCATCAACCTCAAAGGCATCATGGTAAGAGAGTAGTTAATTAATGACATAATCCGGCTGGCCACACACGTCAACCTCAGTCTTGTCACCCCTGACGACGGCCGGTTTGGGTGGTGTGAAAAACAGATTGGGAACGCGGTGATCAACGACTGGACGGACACCAAGGGCATGTACGACTTCTTCTGGACGCACGCGTTCATCTCCGACGAGACGGCCGCCGGCATCGACAAGAACTGCAACTTCACGGCCGCCGGCGCCGGCGCGGCGACGAGCGCGCTCTGCGACGACGCGTCGGACGAGGCCGGCGAGAGCCTTCGGGACATCGACATCTACAACATCTACGCGCCCAACTGCCAGTCGGAGAAGCTCGTCACGCCCCCCATCGCCCCCTCGGTACGTGCGTGCGTGCGGCCTTTCCATCCATCCAACACCACAGCCGGTACGGTGGCAGCACCGTACTGTACTGCACCACCGGCGCTAACTGCTAAATGATCGATGAGGCTAGTTAGTTAGATCATCATCGTAGGGATGTTTTTCTTGACATGATCATCATAGGGATGTCGATTGGTTTTAGTAATTAAGTTTGCTTGGGTTCTACGTGTGGCCAGATCGACAACTTTGATCCGTGCACGGACTACTACGTGGACGCGTACCTCAACCGCCCGGACGTGCAGAAGGCGATGCACGCCAACGTCACCCGCCTCGACCACCCCTGGTCGGCCTGCAGGTATGCTACCTACCCTACACTACACTGCACCCATCCTACTCACTCCACCACTTTTTTTGTCCTTGACAAATGTAGGTAGTTGCCCAGATTTAGCTAACAAGATTAATTAAGCTAGTGTTGACCCATGCATCTCACACAGTACGATTCAGAGACCTGGAGACTCCTCTCTGATTCACGTAATAATAACAAGAACAAAAAAAAATGAAACTTGGTCTTCATCTTTCATTATCTTGGACGAAAAATATCTTAAGCTGGCCGTCGCTTGCATCAACCAGAGCCTTGTGATTAGGGCTGCAAACGAGTCGAGCTCGAGCGAGTTGGAGTTGGCTCAGCTCAACTCATATGAAAATTCAAGCGAGCTCAAACTAAGTGAAGCTCATGATCGAGCTGTAGAACATGACTCGTGCTCAGCTTGTAACGATCTCGAGTCGATCTCGAGCTAAATGAGATGGTAAAAATTATAAATCTATGGATGAAAAACAAAAAAATAAGATGAATATGCTGGGAAACTTGGCAAAAATATAGGATATTTAACACATAGTCGACCACATGCCATAATTAGGCCTAAATCTTCTCTGCACTTAACTAAGTTTTCATGTTCGTTGGTAAATAAAATGGAGAAAAATTATGAACAACATATATGGTAATAAATTATCTTATTTTCATTTAATATATGGCATGTTCATTTAACATAATGATATTCTGTCGAGCTATCGAGCTAAAATCGAGCGAGCCAACATTGACTCAAGATCGGCTTGTTTCTTGGTCGAGCTACATAAAGTGTTCAAACTCAGCTTGTTTCTTTTCGAGTCGATCTCGAGTCGAGTCAAAAGACGAGTCGATCTCGAGCGGCTCACGAGCCTCGAGCTTTTCTTGCAGCCCTACTTGTGATTGCTTGGGCAACGGCGGCACAAGTGTCTTAGTGATGATCTGAGAGCACAGTGAAGCGCACAAGTGTCTTATTGGAGTTTCTTTTGTGCGACCCGTCAATCATGCCTCAACTACTAAGTACTAACCGGGTTGCTTTATCTTGCTGCACAACATGCAGGAGGAGGCAATCATATATATGTTGATTCCAGTGAACCCTTGCTCACGCTAGACACACACCACACTAATCAATACCCTTGCACGAAAAAGCGTTCATCCGCCAGACCAGTTAGACCAGCACTTTATCCTACCAATATCCTCTGCAGCAAACAATATGATAGATATTATGGGATGGAGGGAGTATTATACGCCCTGCGTGCATGGGCGGTAGGGGTAGGTGCATCACAAGAAAGTAGATGCAAACTTGTAAGCAACAATGTGGTAATTTAGTATTAGTATGCTGAAAAGGCTGGTTGGTTGCTCAAACTTGCAGCACCTGATCTAGATGCAGATGCAGATCGACGAACTGTTGTGCAAATTACCGGAGATTAGATTAGTATACTTGCTGCCGTCGTCCAGCAATTTTCTCCGAGTTAACAAACGAGAAGATAGGTCACGCGTCGTACCAGTCCGCCCCGCCTAATTTACAGCATGCGTGTTCTCCAGGAAAGATAGGTTCATACCAAGATCTATCTAATGGTGTTATCACCTGCACATGGCCTGAACTGCAACTACCGCAAATATGTTCTTGCTTTCTTTAATCCATGCACATGCATTTGCGCAGCATGCGCCGAATTATTAGGGGATTATATAAGCTTTCATCTTGCTAGTTGGCCATGCCAATGACTCGGTGGCCCATGTGCAATCGCATCCTTCCAATATACATCACATTGGCACATCAAGTTCTTTTGTTTTTTTTGGTTCGAAGAACCATGTCATAATTTGCAAAATATTCCATCTATTTTGTTTTCAGTGAAGTCTTGACACGCTGGGTCGACAGCGCCAAAACGGTCCTGCCTATTATCCGGGAGCTGATGAAGAACAACATCAGAGTCTGGGTTTACAGGTATGCATGATAGGCGTTTTCGGATACTACTTGATTAGAGTCTGTGATGTGGCATTCCAGAATAGAAGTGAAATGATTTGTGGTATACATGCAATGGTGAAAATAACGGCCACTGACCTTTTGTTTGCAGTGGAGACACTGACGGGAGGGTGCCCGTCACTTCCAGTAGGCTCTCTGTCAACCAGCTCCAGCTCCCAGTGGCAGCGAAATGGAGGCCATGGTTCAGCAGCACCAAGGTGCTAACTTACAATCACCACTTCCCTGCCCAAATCTTTTCACTGCAACAACAAGCTAACGCAACAGATTGTTGCTAAAACTTATAATTCAGTTGCTACAGAAGTGCACGGAAATAATTTTAACCTGTTGAGATGATCAGGATAATTTGAAACCTTCAAGCTCTCATATCATGATTATTACCTGCTTTTGCTCGGACTCGGTAAATATAATGATCTGTTCGATCTTATGAATGCAGGGTGCCGGAGAGGTGGGTGGATACATTGTGCAGTACAAGGGTGATCTCAGCTTGGTAACTGTCAGAGGAGCAGGCCATGAGGTCCCCAGCTACCAGCCGCGGCGAGCCCTTGTGCTTGTCCAGAATTTCCTCGCAGGCAAAGCTCTCCCTGACTGCAAAGAATGCGAACAAGATTAGCAAAAGAAAAGAAGTTTTTACACTAAAAATAGCACACCAGCAGCTTCGCAGGTTGTATCATTTGAGTCAGTACAAGAAACAAACAAAATCAAGTAAAGTTAAACACAGAAAGCCATCAACCCTTGCGCTCCGCAGACCCTGTAACTGAAGGTCAGCAAATGTTCCATATAGATAGGAAACGGTATGGTGTAATCTGTTAAGTCTGAAGATCTATGCCACAATGGCATGTTGCAATACTGGTGCCACCAAAGGATGCTGCACCTCCTTGTGTTACAGTGACTTACCAGGAGAATGAAATTTATATGTTGGTCCCAAACCAGGGGATACTGTAAACTCTGTGATCACAAGCTGCATGGTTTCAGTTGCTGTATCAATTTCATTCAGTACAAGAAACAAGAAAAATCAAGTTAAGATATAGAAAGCCATCAAAGTATCAAACCACATGTTTCACAGATCATGCAACTGCAGGCCTGCAAAATGGTTTCACATAGATATAAAGTATGTATGATGTAATTTATCGTCTGAACAGTGATTGCCAAACTCGCATGGCGAAAAGCTGGGGCCTCTATGTGTTACAATGACTAACCAGGAGAATGAAACTTATATCTTGGTAACAAAGAATTGATACTACACAGTCTGAATATTTGCCCTCCATGTGCTAAGAAGCATAACAAAAGCACTGCAACTTGGAATATGACTACGCCTCAGATATCTCAAGGCATGAGCAACAAGATTTTTTTGCAGAAACAGTAAATACCTAAAAACCCAGAACATGCCACATGAATCTACTCCTTGAAGAAACTGATAGTGTTTTTACTTCCACACAAACAAAAATACAATCAACGAATAATGGCAATTTCTTTCTATTCCACAGAGGATGAAACTGGGACAAATTCTGTTCCTCAAATGTGCCAAACAATCATATCCTCCTTCCAGCACCGCATTACAACCAGTGGTAACACAATATAATAACTTGATGATTCTTACAAGATCACTGAAAAATGTATACTCGTGCAAAGGCACACTTTCTATTTTTGGATGGCCATAATGGTGGCAGCATCACGCTGTTTGATCTTGTAAGGATCACAACAATGCACAAATATTGTGAGATCAATTATCCTACAGCTCACTCGGAATCTTGCAACTTCAAGTGGCTTAAGGTTGGAGAATCTATCCCTGTTAATTCTTGGCCCTTTTTGCAGACATAAATATAATGAGAGTCAGGATCCTCCAGAACAAAGCCCTCAGGCAATCTACCACTCTCAGTCAGTGGAACAGGGTCGAAGACAGATCTTCTTATGTTTCCCTTGAATCCAGGTCTTGCTGCAATGCATTAAAAAATGATCATGCTACAGTTCTGTTTATCTTATAAGTAAAGTTCTTATGAACTACACTACTGTGAATTCAGTGGTGTTGACTACACAAGTTAAAGCTCGGATTTACACAAAACGTGGAGCAAACCCTATACATGAGCAAGCAAACAGAGATTCTGTTTTTATTAAGCAGGGAAAATTTTCAACATTGCGGATCAATTGAACGTATCTGCGAAATGACATAATACTAATACGTACGCAGAATGTACAGTACAATTTTCCAACTGCATACTGGTTGGTTCAGGTGAGGAATTCGCGCTGATGGATCACCATAAGTTATCTAGCAGTTCAGAAACAAAAAATGATCGTTATAATCAGTGGCAAGAAATGACATATTAAGTCTGCACTACGAAGAAACTTATCCAAACTGCATACCAACATAAAGACTCCCCCTGGTTTAAGTAGCCTACAATCAGAAGATACCACTGATAAGAATGCAGGAATGCTGAACTTAACAATATATTGGTGTACATGAGGCTGTAAGTGATGCTTGAATGGGGGGACAAAGTATTAAGAACCTGTCCACTTCCAGGACCATCTGAGCTGCGCTGAGAGGAGCCTCCACACCACACTGGAAGCAGAAAGACCGCGATGTTGAAGTAGTACCAAAATAAGGAAAAGACACAATGACAGAACATTACCTACTTACCATCAAAGAGTCCAGAGTACCTTTAAGAAATGTACAAAAAGAACAAACGGCATTAAGCAAAGTGTTGTCAATAGAATCAATACTCCTTAGAAAGCCACTGTAGCATGAAGAAACTCACACCTTTATCAATGGCACAATCAAACGATTCGTCAGAGAATTTACTCATATCCCTAACATCCATTTGCATGTCTACAGCTCATAAGGAAATCAACAGACACTAGATTGCACTTCCCGGACAAAGAGGGAATGTAAAATATTTAAGGATACATTGTAGCTGTGGAAGATCGAAGTACTTCTTCCTCATCATCTCAATTAAAACCGAAGAAATGTCAATGTTTATTATCTCCATGTAGCCATCAGCGGCCATATCCTCTGACATAACTACGAACAGCAGAGCACGGGGAGAAAATTTAAATTAGCACAGGGAGTGTAATCATAGAGCCTAGATTTAGAAGCGCATCCTAAACTCTATCCAGATCAGCCCATCGAGGGTGCAAAACCCAACCCCTAGTGTGTATGCATAAGCATTGAAATATCTGTAATGAAACTATGACTAATGTAACACAATAGGACACTATGTTCATACAAGTAGTGAAAATCAAATGTGCTGCCATGCATTTAACGCGTCGATGCAGCATAGATAGTCTTACCATAATACTAAAAGCCCAGAGCAACTTTGAGTTACTGGGCAACAAGTGGAACCAAGGTTGGTTTTGGTTTGGGTTATCACACAGAGCTGTGCTGGTTTCAGAATTCAGATGTTTGGTTGCAAGTCCCTCTGAAAAATTAACTTACACACTGTGCATGCCCCACTGATATTGTGTGGCATCAACATCACAACTCTATCAATTCACAGATTGCCTAACTGTAGCACTATAGCACATTATCCCATCCAGAGTACAATGATCAGATTACTGGAAGTGATACATGCCAGCATGTGGACTGATAGAATGACATTATGTGATTGCCATGTTGTTATATACTAATAGATACACCTAGCCGAGGAGCTATCTAGAAACTATTGCCATGACAGCAATTTCGATCCCAATAGACGCTGACCGTGCTCTGTGCAATCAACTAATCCAAAAGATTGCTCACTCGCTGGTCTGTGCCAATCACCCCCATTCACAAATCACAATCAAGCACCTATTTGAACCAAACCTGAAAAGGAGGAGAGGAAAAGGAAAGGAAATTTCTACTTCCGGAAATGGGAGACGAACGCACAAGCACCACCATGACGAGCACAACCAACACGCTGGCTGCTCCAGTTCGAGCACTAGGCGAGCGCAGTCTCTATCTACGGAGCAATCACGAGGAGGAGAGCGGAAGAGGGAGGGGGGACGTACGCGCGGAGCCGCAGCCGATCATGAGGAGGCGCGAGGCCGGTGGCACGAAGCGGCGGACGAAGGGGCGCAGCGCGGCGTAGCGCTGGTACCAGTCGTAGGGCGCGCCGCCCTCCTCCACGTAGCGCGCGTCCCAGTACCCCGCCTCCCCGTAGCTGAACACCGTGCCGCCGCCGCCGCCGCCGCTCCCGGCGCCGTCGCTCCTGGCGCCCCCATCCTCCTCCTCCTCCGCCCCGCGAGGCAACAGCGGTGGCGACGACGACATCGCCCGGGGACGGAGCGAGGCGCGGGCGGGCGAGCGAGCGAGTCGAGGGAGGCGGGGTGGATAGAGAGAGAGGAGAGCGTATTAGGTGAGCTGGGGGGAGTGGGAGGAGCATCGGCATCGGTACCGGTGTGCCCGAGCTTGGGACCAGCCGCCACCAATCCCACGCGTCGCCGTCGTCGCCAGCCGATGCGCATTTTCTTTTCCCAATTTGCCTCTCGAAACGAAATTTCTCCGTTTCCTTCTCATTTTGCTGACTTTTCTGATGGCCTCGTTTTCGGTGGCTGTTACCGCGATTTTGTGGCTTGAATTTGCTCCCACATTTGCTTCCGATGGATTGCGCTCGTTAAATTGGTGATGTTCGGCCGTGTTAATGTCTACTCCCTCCGTTCCAAAATAGATGACCCAACTTTATACTAAAGCTAGTACAAAGTTGGGTCATCTATTTTGGAACGGAGGGAGTACTTTTATAGGGCGTGCACGTATCCCTAGATCGTCAATTTGATCAACCTAATACAAATCATATATATTACAAAAAATATATCAATATAAACTTCAGATCAAAAGATATAATTTTTGTGTTATATAGTTTATATTAGGATAATAACTTTAGCAACCTAGATATATGCGTAGGACTTGTAAACTGAGATGAAGGGAGTACTACTCAGCAGCAACTGCACGTCGTTTTTCTTCCGTAAAGAAAATTGTATTGCTGTTTTTACACGTGGGAAGTATTTATACCACTCAAATTTAAGTTTTGAATAATAATGGTGAGACACTTGGAGTAAGCATTAGTTTTTTTTTTCCAAGAGTATGCCAAAAGCGTACAATATTTTTATAAAAGATAGAAGACAATTATAAGAAGCTACAACTCGCTACGAACAACAAGTGTAGACAACCACCACACCCGAGCTAATCCGAAGAAAAGACACCACACACATAACATACACAATGCAAAGGAGCCTGCCCTAAACATAGAGCAACATAGCCGCGTCTTGACCAACGCCGATCGCCTCAAAGAGCAATCACTTCATCCGGACTTCCCTTGTCGACGCATCAACCACCCTTGAATGTCGAAAAGGAGATGGCGAGTGGGTGGCGGGACTCGATTGGTCCCGAGAAAGCCACCTTCTTGAACTCATCAGCATTGGCGTACATTGCTCCCAAGAACCTATATTCGAACCAGCCGCACACATTGGAGAACCGCATCACAAAACCTTTAAGCCATGTCTTCACACATGATGCTCCCAACAGAGAAACGACGCCACAACGCCGCCATCGTCAGTCCAATACCTGTGCTTTCACCCGGAGACGACAATCCAAACAAGAGGGGGAAAATGGCAACACACCATAGCGACGCCTCCAAGGAGGTGAACGACACCCACAGGCGGCGGCGGCGCCAACACCGACCGGAGACGGGCAGCGAGTCTCAGGTCTCGATGTAATCGACGCCCCGTGGTCGTTGGGTGTGCGGATGATTTCCAGGAGATGTGCCGGTCGTCGTGGAGTGCAACGGTGGCGGCGGCTGGTCGAATGGGTGGCCGGGCTCGTCGAAAACATGTCGGCGATCTCATGGCAGTGGCGGAGTTGGAGGTGGTGCGACAAACAGCTTGGCGGCACTCCGGTGGTATTGAGTGGGGGTTTCGAGAGAGGGGAGGCCGGATTCTTTAAAGAACTACTCCAAATCTTTTACGCAAGGAGAAAAATAAAAGGCCATGGTATGCAAAAGGTAATTATTCATTCATGTTTGTGTGCTAGAGAAGTCGAAAGTTGAGATTTGTGATTTCAGATGCAAACAGCTCGCCAATCAAAGAAAATACTACTCCATCTGTACTGTAAACAAATATTTAATGACTTAAAATGTCTTATATAGTTATATTTATTTACAGAGGGAATAGACCGGGACGCAAGAGTAATGGAGATGGAATCCACGCAAGATTATTCAGAGCACACAGTTGACAGTGATGGCATTGTTGAACACGAAACGAGCGCGCTTGTGCTGGACCATCCGGAGGCTGTGGCCGTCGCGGCCACGCTCCATCTCTACTCCGGTAAGCACGGCAAATTGCCTGCCCATTTCATCATCAGCGAAGAGCTTGGCCACGCAAAACCTGTTGTCACCCATGTTGATGAGCCTGAAAAGCAGAGGATTCCAATTCTTCTCACCAGGCAGGGTGGCATTGTCCCAGACGTGCTGCCATGTGGGTGCAGCTTGGCCATCCATGGCGGAGAGGTCCACGGCGCATAGGTGGTGGGGTTTTCCGCCGGCCGTGAAGCCCAGCCATACGCCAAGCTCCGGGACATGCTCGGCTCTCCCATAGAAGGGCAGCTCCCACTCCCCGACCTGCCTCCACACGTCCAGGTGCTTCCACCCAAGATGGTGGGTAGAATCGAAGCCCCACGTGTCGAAGCGGTAGGTGCCGATCCTGTCGGACGATATGCAGATGGTGGTGCAGCCATGGGCGTCCTTGATGGTGGTGTGGGAGGTGATCATGGAGGGCCGGTACCCAGGTCGGCTGACGTATGGAGGAGGAGGAAGAAGCCGCCAGTCCCATCCCTTTTTAGGGTCGGTGACATCGTTGGACAGGGCCCTGTACTCGAGAACCTCGAAGCAGGAGCGGGGGCACTCGCCGGGGTCGGGCGAGAACCGAGCCGGGGCGACAGATTGGCCAGGGTACCTCTGCATGACGTAGAGGCTGTCCTGGTCGCTGCCTGGGTGGGCGACGGAGAAGCTCGGGGGGCTCGTGCCTTTGGCTTGGGAGAGCTCGGGCAGCGTGAGGTAGAGGGACTTGTCGGCGTCGAACATGGCGGTGTTGCCACCCTTGTTGGAGTGGACGATCCGACCCTCGCAGGCGCCGCTGCGGGACGTGAAGAGCTCGAACCATTCCAGGCCAGGGGACAAAACGCCGGTGGGGGACGGGTCGTAGCTCGCGATCGGGTCAGGCAGACGCCGCAAAGTCTTGTATCTTCTTCTTCTTCTCGTTGTTTGCTGACTCTTCTGCTTCTTCCATTGACGGATAGAAAAGATGCTTGGCCGCATCGATGCGGCGCAGCGAATAAACGCCGTCGGCCAAATTCTGCACCAGCGGATTCACAGAACGCCGGCGGAACATTGACCGCCGATCTACCAACAAAACCCGTCCTGACTCCTGAGTCCTGACTATGAGATAATTAGAGAGACAGAAAACAAATAGAACTTGGGGGTGAGAATCCCCCACATCAGATGATCGACGGGGCTCGCAGCCTCACACTTGGCAGCAAGGTTCACAACTTCAAAAAAATGCTCCAATATTAATAGGACACGTCTAGGGAGCGGCCGGCTGCTCCCTAGCTGTCCAGAGTGACCTACTTATTTATCCTATTGTGATCCTAAAAACAGAAAATAGTATCTTTCATGTGAACCAAAAGTGCTAAAAAGGACGCTGCTAATTAATCATTTCACATGATCTCTTGTCATATGATAGATGTCTGCATGTCTCCTGCTCACCTTGTCTTTTGTGTAATAATTTTGGATTTTCAAAATTTTAAAAAGCCATATCTTTCAAACCGCGTGTCGGAATTCAGATCCGTTTTCACCATTGGAACCCTCGTGACGTGTTCTTCGAAACTAGATCCCGCATGGGTATGTTTTTACAAAAAAAATTTGTGCCAACTAAGTCCCTCGTTTTGTGCAACTGCCTAACAATCTATGTGCAACTACCTGACATTGGATGTGCAACTTGTCGTCTACTCCGTGAAAGTATAGTTTTCATTGATGGTACATCTACTCCCAAACTACCTCCTCCTAGTGAGATGTTCAAATTCGTGTTTTGCCCAGGCCAACTGCCTAATAGTTCATGTGCAACTTTCCCCCTATCCATGATTGTGCTTTCACTGTTTGCTGCATCAGCCAATTGTCTAGCAGTGGATGTGCAACTTTGGATACTGTTACCGCCAATTGTCTACCAGTGATGTGCAACTATCCCTCATACCTCATGGATGTGTAATTTCCTTACTAGCACTCGAAAACACCCGTCTAGTGGGATGTGCAACTTTAGCGCCCCGTTTATATGCAACTTTTACTAATGAGTATGTAACTTTTCACTACCCTCATGAATATGGAATTTTCACAATCCAACTATCCCTACTTGTGAGATGTGCAACTTTATATGTTGCTCCAGCCAACTGCCTAGCAGACTTTGTGCAACTTCATTTGTTGCCCCCGCCAACTGAAACTACATATCCACAAGTAGGGAGGGAAAAGAGTTGCACATTTAGTAATTGGAAGTTGGCTCGAACAACAGACTAAGTTGTACGTATATCATTTGTAGGGAAGATGGGGCAGAGTGTGTCAACTGTAAAAAAACTACAAATCCACGACTAGGACAAGGGTTGTACATCGACTACTACATAGTTGGTCGGGACCGTAGACTAGTTGCACATCAAATTTTCATGGTTGCTAAGTTGTAACCTCATGTGAAGTTAGATCATGCAGCTCAAAAAACTGGTTTTGAATTTTTTTACACCATGTAGCATTAAAGTTGCACAATGCAGTACTGAATTTGAACAATATAGGGTCAAAGTTGGCATCAAAAAAATTCATCAAAACATACCCATGCGGGATCTAGTTTCAAAGATCTCGTTGCGAAGAATCCAAGGGTGAAGACGGATCTGAATTTCGATGCGCAGTTTAAAAGATATGGCTTTTTAAAAATTCGAAAAACCAAAATAATTGCACGTGAACCTGTTTCTTTCAAATTGAACTAATCAGTGTGAACGCATTTAATACTAATAATGATATGCACTAGCAGACAAAAAACAACTCATGCATGGCTGTGAAGACCGGCCACTTGTTTCCTCAAAAAAATGCGCGTGCACTTTAAAGAATTTGGGATATTAATATTTTGTCCAAAATTTAATTGTTTCCATTTTCAAAAAAAATTCATTTGTCAAAAACTATTCAGAATATTAAGGAATGTTAAAAAAACAGATATTTGCTGCAATTAGTTCTTAAATGTTCCCTG